ACATGAAAACAGGACCTGTTACCTTCAAGCATTGTCACTATAAGTTATACCTGTCAGCAATATCAGGAATTTTACAGTGACCTGTAAAGAAACTGTGCATACTTACCTGCTATCTGACACTTCCTGCTGTGTCACCTGCTAGACACTGGGGTTCCTCCCAATGGCTATGATGTAATTGTAGAAGTGCTGATAGGTATTTAAAACAGTGAAGATTTCACTTGTTATCTGCAAAAAACAAAAAGGCAGTGCGCATCATGTTTCTTTACAGGTTGCTACTAATTAATAGGGTCACTTTAAATCTTCTTTGCCATGGCAAACTGAACAACCCAATCACCTAATAAAAAATTTGAGACTCTTACAGAATAGTACCAAGCATACCAGTATAGAAAGAACATCATAGTAAAAACAATGCTATTAAATTGATGGCCAACAGCAAAACAACAGCATAAAGCCATAAACATGAGGTGCCCTGATTACAATGATGTTGAGATATTTTTTGTGTGCATTACAAAGTGAAAACAACATTTAATAAGTCCCCAATAGACTGAAGGCTAGAGCAGTTGAACACATTTTTACCCTTGGCAGACCTTTGCTATGATTGTTAGCACTGTAATATTTGCTAGAACTTGCAGTTTCATCTGAAGCACTCGAACTGCTGTTTCTACTGTGTCTGGTTCATGCACCAAGCCTTGTTTGTGTATTGCTGGTTCATGAGTGCTTTATTAATTTACTGCTGTGAAATACCGGCCACATGGAAAGCTTGATTTTCCACCAAATAAAGATTACACATTGACACTCCATTAGTAAACTCCTGCTATGACTAAATGTCTGCCATGTAATATGTATAACTACAGCAGTGTATTTTTTAGAACAATTTCCATCTTCAGATATATGTATTCACTGTTAACACTCCAAAAAGAATCTATCAGGGAACCTTTGCTGAGGAACGGTTTAAAGGCAAAAGGAACTCAGGGGAGGTTTCTCCCTGGGCGGTGCTTGTGACATATCTGATAATACCACTTTGTTTGTATCTAATGCAGTGAATTAGAAAACCTCCCTGGAGTTCCCAGCATGCTTAAAGTTGAAGTTTAATTGTTTTTATTTCTTTACAGCTTTAGTGAAATTACCTTCAGTGAAGTCCAACTGTCCCTCATTTTGCAGGCTTCTTGGCCCTGTAGAAATCTCTGAAGGATGCTTGATCCTCTTTCTGGCACTGAGCTTATGCTGCAACGGTTAATACACTGCTCAAGAAAATTAAAGGAACACTTTTTAATCAGAGTATAGCATCAAGTCAATGAACCTCCTGGGATAGTGATCTGGTCAGTTAAGTAGCAGAGGGGGTCGTTACTCCCCAAAACCGGAATGGTTTTATAGGTGGAGGCCACTGCCATTTTTTTCCCTACTCATCTACTGTTTTTCACTAGTTTTGCATTTGGCTAGGGTCAGTGTCACTACTGGTAGCAGGAGGCGATACCTGGACCCTACAGAGGTTGCACAGGCAGTCCAACTCCTCCCGGATGGCACATCAATACGTGCCATTGCCAGAAGGTTTGCTGTGACTCCCAGCACAGTCTTAAGAGCATGGAGGAGATTCCAGGAGACAGGCAGTTACTCTAGGAGAGCTGGACAGGGCTGTAGAAGGTCCTTAACCCATCAGCAGGACAGGTATCTGATCCTTTGTGCAAGGAGGAACAGGATGAGCACTGCCAGAGCCCTACAAAATGACCTTCAGCAGGCCACTGGTGTGAATGTCTCTGACTAAACAATCAGAAACAGACTTCATGAGAGTGGTTTGAGGGTCCGATGTCCTCTAGTGGGCCCTGTGCTCACTGCCCGGCATCATAGAGCTCGATTGGCATTTGCCATTGAACACCAGAATTGGCAGGTCCGCCACTCGCACCCTGTGCTTTTCACAGATGAGAGCAGGTTCACTCTGAGCACATGTGACAGATGTGAAAGGGTCTGGAGAAGCCGTGGAGAACTTTATGCTGCCTGTAGCACTGTTCAGCATGACCATTTTGGTGGTAGGTCAGTGATGGTCTGCGGAGGCAAATCCATGGAGGGATGCATAGACCTCTACAGGCTAGACAATGGTACCCTTAGTGCCATTAGGTATCAGGATGAAAACCTTGGACCCATTGTCAAACCCTACGCTGGTGCAGTGGATCCTGGGTTCCTCCTGGTGCATGAAATGCCCGGCCTCATGTGGCAAGAGTATGCAGGCAGTTCCTGGAGGATGAAGGAATTGATACCATTGAATGGCCCCCATGCTAACCTGACCTAAATCTAATAGAAAACCTCTGGGATATCATGTTTCAGTCCATCTGACACTGCCAGGTTGCACCTCAGACTGTCCAAGAGCTCAGTGATGCCCTGGTCCAGATCTGGGAGGAAATACCCCAGGACAACCATCCATTACCTCATTAGGAGCATGCCTCGATGTTGTCAGGCATGCATACAAGCACATGGGGGCCATACAAACTACTGAGTACCATTTTGAGTTGCTGCAATGAAATTTCAGCAAAATGGACTCATTTTGATTTTCAAGGTGTCTTAGAATTCAGTCCTCTGTAGGTTGATAGTTTTCATTTCCATCAAACAATGGGGCATCCTTACTTTCCTAACACATTACCCAGTCCATATCAGTATAGATATCCAGCATATTATTTTTCCTCATTGAGATCTGATGTTTTCAAAATGTTACTTTAATTTTTTTGAGTAGTGTAATTTTGGGTCCTCAGGCTGAACTTCATTATAGATGGTCTGATGGGTACCCACCCCTCCTCCATCCAACTCCATTGAGAAAAGTTCTTTCATTGTTTACACAGAATGTAACTATCTCTTAATGGGTGAGGGTCAGATGAGTTACAAAATGCTCTTCCACATTCAGAGTTCTTACTCTTTTGGCCCCTTTCAGTTCCGATTAGGTCCTCCTGCCTATTTTTCAGGCAGACCTGATTGGAACCTCTATTCTCCCTTATGGAGGTGTGGGTGTAAACAGATATGTGCCCATTTACACCCACCAAAAACCAATCCAATCAGATCCGCCAAAAAGAGATGGATGGGGATCCATTCCCCTTCTGTCCGTTGAATTGGATGGCAGTCAGATGAAAATGGACAGGCGGTCAGTTTTCATATGACCACCCATAGAGCACAGTAGGCTGTGTCTCTGTCCACTCTGCAACAGCGGAGTGGATAGGGACCTGTCATCCACTTGTTCATCGGGAATCAGCGGAGAGATCCCCCACTGAGCAAGCGGATCTGCTGACAGGTCCGTCCTGTTTAAAAGGGGCCTTTCAGTGTAAATAGTGAAAGAACATTTCTCAATGGAGGAGGGAGGGAAACGCTAATGCAGTTTAGCCCAGGAAGAGGACTGGCAATCCTGCAAAGAAAATTTCTACATGATCCACAAGCCTGCATGACGTGGGACAAACTTCATTACAGGAATGAAGTTTTGGTCTATATACGCCAGTTAGGTGCTTATAAACTTAATTATTGATATTTAGAAGCTATTTCTGTTAACACTGGTAAAGGGATCCTTTAAGACCTTTCCTCTAGGGATCCCCCTAATCCCCACTGCCTGTTGCAGCACAGAATGTTTGCGTGGACTTTAAAGTGGACTTTGCACTCCAAGCAAGGTCTGCTTCTTTGGTGTGGGCCCCCTCCCCTTTCTAAAACACTGCTGTGAAATGAAAATAAAACCTGTTGGAGTAAAAGTTATATGTACCTTTGTTTGCAAGCTGGCTGGCAAGTTGAGTTGGGAACTTTTTTTTTGTTGTTGTTTGACATGCGTCGCCCGTCCATGTGCTCCTTGCTGTGAAGGCCAGTTATAGACTGGGGCAATGGCCATGTTTTGTACTGTTGAATTGTTGGTCGAGGTGGCGCAATGTACACCATAGCTGCCATTGTGCTACATGCTGGGTGTCCGGTGCGCTCCTGTACCTTTAAGGAGGGGTGGGCTCCCTCAGGTTCACCTGCTTTTGGTCTGTCCATTAAATACATGTGCCTCTACTATGGGGGGCTCCTAAAATTTGTAGAGTTAGGACTACAGAATATCAGGGTGCCGTGATGTGGCTCTGTGGCTTACGTATGTATTTGCAAATGTGTGCTAACTAAACCCCTGTTTTTAACACATACTGTTAGACAGGTTAATTTGGTTTGTTTGTAAGCTGGCTGGCAAGTTGAGCTGGGAACTTTTCTCTTTTGTTGTTTGACATGCGTCGCCCTTCCATGTGTTCCTTGCTTTGAAGGCCAGTTATAGACTGGGGCAGTGGCCATTTTTTGTACTATATGTACCTTTCACTCAGCTTACATACTGCAGAGTGTGATGTCACCATATTGCCAATGAGTTGCAAGAGAATGCTGAGTATTCCAAATCTGGAGAGAAGATGCTGCAGCACAATGGAGGATCATCTTCTTTCAGAATTTGTCTACTCAGCATTCCCTGGGATTTCCTCATAGGATGATGTCACCCTTCCATAGGTGTCATAGGTGTAAACCAGGTCAAAGCTAGTTAAAATAGCAAAATTATTCCCCCAACAGATTTTTTTTGCAGTTGAATCCAGCATTTTAGGAAGACAAAGGGGCCCATACTAAATAGGCAAACTTATTATTTAGTGCAAAGCCACTCTAAATTTAACACTGAAATGCTGAAACTGAAAATTTGGAAGACCTGGCACAGTATCCACCTTTTCTACCGTTCACAGCAGTTTTTACCATTCAAATATACTTGTGCTTTAATATTATTTAACTAAAGATCGCATAACTATTTGCTGTAAATGGTTGGCCTGTAAATGGCATTCATCAGATAATCAAATAGGGTTTCACCAGGTTAACTAGTAGCCGACCGCAGATAGCCGAATGATGGCTGCCCGGCCAGTTCTGGGAGGACGTCATATGACGTCCTACGGACACAGCTGATCACGTGATGTAAAAGGCCAATCACAGCGGCCTTTTACCACCTGATCAGCGGTGTCCAATGACACGCTGATCAGAGGGAAATGCAAGTGCCGGTTCTCGGCTGCACTTTCCTCACGCTGTCAGATCGTGAGGAAAGTACTGCCGAGAACCGGCAGTTGTCAGAGCGGGGATCGGCACCGATCATCAGGGCACTGATGATCAGTGCCCTGATGATCGGTGCCCAGCAGTGACACCCACAAGTTCTGCCCACCTGTGCCCAGCAGTGCGCCCACTAGCTCCGCCCACCCGTGCCCAGCAGTGCACCCACCTGTGCCCAGCAGTGCCCCCTGTGCCCAGCAGTGCACCCACCTGTGCCACTCTGCAGTGCCACCTACCTGTGCCCAGAAGTGCCACCTACCTGTGCCCAGCAGTGCCACCCACCTGTGCCCACCCACCTGTGCCCACCAGTGCCACCCACCTGTGCCCACCCACCAGTGCTGCCCACCAGTGCCACCCACCAGTGCAGCCCAGCAGTGCTGCCAGTCAGTGCCACCAGTCAGTGCCCAGGGGTTGTGCCAGTCAGTGCCGCCAGTCAGTGCCCATCAGTGATGCCAATCAGTGCCGTCTATCAGTACCCATCATCAGTGTCACCTATCAGTGCCGCCTATCAGTGCTGCATATTAGTGCCGCCTATCCGTGACACCTCATTAGTGCTGTCTATCAGTGCCGCCTATCCGTGCCACCTCATTAGTACGGCCTATCAGTGCCCATCAGTGCCGCCTATCAGTGCCCATCAGTGCCGCCTATCAGTGCCCATCAGTGCTGCCTCATCAACGCACATCAGTGAAGGAGAAAAAATACCTGTTTGAAAAATTTTATAAAAGAAACAAAGAAACTTTTTTTTTTTTTCAAATTTTTTGCACTTTTTTTATTTATAGCGCAAAAAGTAAAATGCCCAGTGGCGATTAAATACCACCAAAAGAAAGCTCTATTTGTGAGAAAAAAATGATCACAATTTCATATGGGTACAATGTTGCATGACCGCGCAATTGTCAATCAAAGTGCGGCAGCGCTGAAAGCTGAAAATTGGCCTGGTAAATAAGGGGGTATAAGTGCCTGGTAGGCAAGTGGTTAATTGCTGAAAAGTATTATTGTTTGTACACAAATTGTTCAGGCCAATGTATTTTGTTGTTGGTTTCCATTTAGTGCAACACTAGGATAATACTTGGTCAACATGCAGTACTAGAGGGATACTTCCATCAATAGCTTTGTGGAGCTGCTAATGTAAGATAACAAATACAAATCATTCAGTTATACTCAGATGAATCTGCTGTGGCCATGCTCTTTGTTTTGTCTGTCTGATTAATGAGTTGGTTGCTCAGTAGAACTTGTAACATTTATAACTGTGAAATGCATGGTGCACTTGCACTTGTCAGAAAATATCTGTAGATATTGTATGACTGTCACTGGATTATGAGTAGGATTTCTGTAGGCTCAAGCTGACCTCTTCAGCAGGCATCTCATTAAAGAATCCATACTGGTAATTTATTAGGTGATTCACTGTTCATTATTTTATAAAAAATAATAATGGGCTCATGTCATTTGACATTCCTATTGTACCTTTGGGTTGTGTTGTTTTAAGCTATGTGAACTGGAATAATATGATTTGATGAAGACTCACAATTTACACAGATCCACAGGCTAACTGGCACAGATGAAATGGTAAGGTTCTAATCGTGAGTTGAAGAAATATATGTTGACATATATGTTGACGAATGGTCAAAACTCATCCTACTTTGACCACAGTAAATCTCTCCTTTATATCCTTCTCCTAAATAGTGTAGACTACCCTCTCCAGCCTAGTTTGAACAGTGAAGCTTAAGTATCTTTGCAAATCAGTTCTGTACCTCCAAGTTGGTCTCCATAGTTCTATGTCCTATCTCTAACATATAAAGCATCAACAGTCTGCCGTATTCTTGCACCTCCTCTTTAGTCCAAATAAAAAAACAAGGAGAACTTTAACTTATCTCATCAACTTGTTGTCTCTTTTAAATTGGTCACTACTTCTAACATATGTCTCTAAGGCTTCTCTTGTGTCCCACTCCCTTTCATTTGGTATCGGATGTCTATCAGCTTTAGAAGCCTTTGCAAGTACCTACTCTGGCAGAACATTGTGTAATCTTAACCCAAAGCTTTGTCTACAAAATGTCTTTTGCTGCCATGCATGTTATCACATACCTGGTGCTGGAAACCAATGGTGAGAGGGCTTCCTCTCACCATTGGCCTCCAGCATAGTCAGGAGCGTAGTCAGGAGGATAATACACAGGAGAGCAGGCTGAGACAGGCTGTTAAACAAGCCGGGGTCAGATTAGGAGGCAGGCAGCAGATAGGTCCAGAGGCAAGCTGAGTCAATAACGAATATCCACAGATGAAAGGGATTCACAAAAACAAATGCATTGGAGAGCCAAAGATCAACCAGATCAACCAGCAGTCACAGAAGGTGACTGGATTCATTATAAGGGCTTTTTGTTTCCAATCTGGGCTGGGAGCGTGCACAGCCATATGCCAGTGCACATGCATGTTCGGGGGTGCATCTGTTTGCATTTTCACATATCTGTTGTGCACTAGCGTGCATTCCTGTGGCCTTGTAAAGACCAGAAATGCCAGGTTTTCGGAAGCCTTTGTTGCGTACAGTACCCTGACATACGATATATCTGGTCTTTACATTATTCCTATTTTTTATGTATTTGTATGTGCTTTACTGTGATTATTTTACCATATGTAAATGCATTGTTTACTTGGTTGGGGAGCTCATGAGCATTATAAAAAAAATATTATGCATATCATTATTATTATTTCTATTTAAATTACATGCATTATTGATAAATTAGTAATCTGGCTACCAAAGAGAAAGTGAGAAGCCAGAATTTTTACAATTTTACACTATTATCTATTTGTACAATTTAAAGAAACACTGTCATTTAAGTGGGCAATATAAAAAAAACACATAGCAATAAAGAAGAGACTGAATACTTACGTCCCCTACAGCTTCCACTGGTGAACTACGCTCCAGTACTGCACAGTGGCTCACTGTTGCCCTATGGGAAGCCAACACTTCGAAAAAGTGTTGACCTTCTGGGAGCCCCACTGAACCCACTGGTTCTTCCTGCTGACATCCATGTCCCTGTAATGACTTGGAGGTCAAGGAGATCAAGGAGATTGAACACTCCCAGAAGTTTAAGATTCATAGAGATTAACATTCTACACTTCATAATTCTTGGCCTATTCTTCTATATATATAAAGACATTGTTATATAGATATTTTAGGTTTTAATCTACATGTTGCTATATTTTTTAATGTTTCAGGCTATATTTATGCCAATGGCCCCAGATAAGCACTTTAACCTATCTTTTGAAAGTATGGTATCACTCAGACACAGATCTAGCAAGGCAAATTCATACTGTAGGTATATTAATGAAATCTAAATTGCTTGTGAATAGCGTATCCTCATTACATTTTTCTTCAATGACATTGACAGTTCAGTATGTGTCAGGCTAGCTCCCTGTAAGCATTGAAGCACTCTATCAGCTAATCTCTACACTCACAATATGGAAAGCTGTTCACCTGGTGAAATGTTCAATCTCATGGCTCTTTTTTAAGCAATGCCTCAGTGCCTGGAATTCTGTGATGTTAACCATAATACCACATCATACACTTTTTTTACAGTGTGTACATGGCTGCTATTACATCAAGACTATTCTGCAAGATTATTCCTCATTGAACATGAACATTCTACATGCCTCACTTCAATTCATTATGATTACAAAACAATGTAAAATAATTGTGAGCAAAACAAACTGCCATTTTTTGCCTACCTTTTGCCATGTGCAATCATTAGCTATAAATATTTAGCTTACCTGAAGGCAGATATAAGCACCCCAATTCATTCAGTTATGAATTTATTTAAAAGAATCAAATGTATTAAATGCAACTAAGGTAATTTCCTGAATGTGACATGCTATGAGCTTCCTTTTATCCCCTGTACAGTAGTGCTCAGACTGGTAGAGGGAGGGGCAGCTCTAGGAGCCAATCACATCTGCTGTATGCATGTTCTGGCAAGGAAAATGCTGACAGGAGGAGTGCAGATGGGTTAACTACTATGCTTTGTTACTGCCCAATTACAGGCTAGGGGCAGGAGGGTGAGCTAGCTAGCTAGAGGGGTTGTCATGTTATATATTCTTGGAGTTTAATTCATTATTATTTTGATTTTGATTTTAATTCACTGTTCTAATAGGGGCATGGTACCTGTAAAACCTTCACACAAGTACAGGTGAGACCTAGTATCTCTCCAGCTCCCATCAATCTCCAATTTAATTAATTCATTTTTTCTATGCTATGAAGAAGGTTTTGGCTGAAATGCGTTAGTATTTATGGATTCTGAATTTCCTAATGTGTGCTAATAAAGTCTCTTTCTGAAGAAGTGACCGAGTTGCTGGCTACATTCTTACATACCTTGAAGTGAACGTCTCAGCCTGAGCACCGGTTTTGCACTCCCATTCCTTTCATATAGCAGTAGAGCTTGGGTGAGTTTCGTTGTTGTTTAGCTGCAGCTGAGAAAAGGCACATCTCTGACCTGGGTCTATTTTAAGGACCTTGAAAATCTTAAGACTGGATGGTCAAAAATATAAAGTCCTTTGGCAGGTTAAAGACTTTTCATATATATATATTAATTGTTTATTTAGCTGTTTGCCTGGAGTTCAGCTTTAAAGTAAACCTGTTACAAACCTAGGCAATTCAAAACAAGCATATGATGAAAACTGTACAAGCTGAGGGTACCTTCAGTGAAAACTGTATATGAAAACATTTTCTAGATCCAAAAATATAGTCAGTTGAGGGCTTAATAAAGATGTCAACTTATAAAGACCGCAAGCAAATGTCTAATTTACCAGCAATGTATGACTATAAATAAAGACGCAACAATGAAAAACTTTTTTTACTCTTCTGCAGGGAATGTAGTCGAATATTTGGAGAAGATGGTTTGACACTGAAACTCTTTCTTAAAAGGACTGCTCCTTTTTCTATCCTATGGACTTTGACGAATTACCTCTACTTATTGGCACTCAAGAAACTGACAGCCACAGATGTGTCAGCTCTCTTCTGCTGCAACAAGGCCTTTATGTTCCTACTTTCCTGGATTGTATTGAAAGATAAATTCATGGGAGTACGGGTAAGGCCACTGACCTCTCATTTTTCAATTTACTGTACTAATTTTGGCTTATTTAATACAGCAGTAAGCAATCTGAAAAGTGCATTAACCCTTATTAACCAATCGTTATTGTCGTATACTGAGCTGGCCTCAATATAGTGAAATTGCTGTATATTGCTACATTTTTCACATTATCATTGCTTCTATCCTTCCTACTCAGAAAGTTCAGCAATGTTGTATCGTT